GGTGCAAAAAAGCGTGAGCCATAGACATGACCTCAGGCGTCTATAGGGGCAACTCCAGAACCGCCATCTCCATCGACGATGAGCCGACCCTGGTGGTTGCTAGTAAGTGCCTCACGAACACGCGTAGGTCACGTCGACATCGTGACGTGCTGAGAATGTTTAGCAACACCAATGCTTCCTACTTGACGTACCCCGGGTCGTCCCCTGCTCCTCGTCCGTGTGTGTGTCTTAGCGTGAGACCCGTCACCTTCCGGGTGTGAAAAAAAAAAAAAGCTTATTTGCATTAAGTCGCAACGGGGCCCGCCTTGCACACGTTGTTGGCCCTCGAGCGATTGCAACGGGCGGCCCGGTTGAAAAGCCCCCGGCTTCAGGGGGCGCGGTAGTGGTTGTGAGGCGGTGTGCACATAGATACGGTATTTAAGGGATATAGCCGACACTGTGTCTATTGATGGTAGACAAACCCGATAGCGTCTGACACTGGCACGCTGGCGTTACGGAGGCGAGCTGGCTATCTCGTGAGCAATTTCCGTCGTCAAAGGCAGGTCAATTATTGCGAAAATCTTCGGGGTCATCCCTTCTGACTACCTGCCGCACTCAGTTTACCAGCCGCCGCACTACTTTCTATTTTTCCACGCCTACCTTAATAGCCGCCGTTCTCCTAGATGCCCCAGTTCGTTGCCAAAGGCGAGGTCAAGCCAGCGGCTGATGACGACACCGTTGACAACAATGCGGCGGGGTCCGATTCCGAGGAAGCCCGTATGTCTCTATACGACCAGATGGAGCGCCACCGAGGTACGTAGACTCGACCAGAGCCCCATTGTTTGGGGGCATTCCCCGCGCCTCACCCAATTTAACTAACCATTGTAGAACAAGTGGAGCGCGATTACCACGCCAAATTCGAGCAGCTGAACCAGACGTATAAGCTCAGCGACGAACAAGTGAATAAGATGTTGGTCAAGCGTCGGCGAGAGGCTGACGACGCCCGCAAGGACGCCGAGTACGCTGCCCGTAAAATGTCCAAGGCCCCATTAGGCAAGCGCATCACGGTATCGAAACGATCGCGAAAAGTTGACAACAATGGCCATGCTCGTCCCACCGCGAGCCCTGAGGAAAACAAGACCCCCCTTATAGACAAACCAAATACGAGCGACACTAAACAAGGGGCGACATCGCTCGTGGGCGACTACTCTAGTGACAGCGAGTGAGCCCACTCCCTCCCTTTCTCCCTCCCCTACTCAGTACCCCTGCTCAAGTCGCACCCCCAGTGAAAAATTCATCTAGCCATCCACTCATCCACCATGTTGGGCAGACTCTTGCAAACGGCTCGGTTTGTGCAAAGCCCGGTGCAGATGATGCTCATGCAGACCAGAACCAAGATGAAGACCCACAAGGCGGCGGCCAAGCGGTTCATCAAGACCGGCACCGGCATCAAGCGCAAGCAGGCCGGCCGCAACCACGGCAACGGCGGGTTCTCCGCCAACACTTTGCACCACTTGGACGGGTTCGTCAAGATCTCCAACCGGGGGCAACACTTGAAGAAGATCGGTCGCTACTTGTGACTCTCATGTATATAGTTAATTCACGAAGTTAAGGTACGCGTCGAACGTGATCCACATTCACAAATGAACATTATAGACTGAAGCACGAAATGATTTGCTTAAAAGATGTACGTAGTGGGAAGCCATGGTTTGCAGGCGCTTTCAGATTCTACAAGGTCTGATCAAAGTCTTCTCTATGATGTATTAGATGTTCATGCTATATAATGATACGGGGAATTACTTGGACGGCTTGATCTCGTCTTCAACCCACTTGCCATCGTCAGTGCGTCTCATTTGCAGGGTGGGGAAGTAGTGGTAATTCACCTTGACGGAAAGCGCAAACGGCACGTTGTCGAAGGTCACTGCCCGAAGCTTAACGTAAGTGTTATCAGGGATCTCACGGACTACTGCCACAAACTCATCCAAGTCGTGGGTAGCGACATCGTTGACGTGAGTGATGAATGACGTGGTGGCGACACCGTACTGGTGGGCGGGCGAACCAGTCAGCATCCGCGTACAGTAGATCTCCAGCGGCACCTTGTCCATGAGCTCTCTCACGGCGTAGTGCGGGGCCTGCAACAGCGCCCCCAGCCAGCTGACAAGTTTGCTGGTGTTGAGGTCGTGGGTGTCGACGGTGTCGACCTCGAGCGTGAGCTCTTGCCGCTGTCTCATCACCAAGAACTTGAGGGTGTGTTCGGTGTACATGTTGGTCAAGTCACGAGCCAGTCTCACGAGCTGGTCGTTGACGCTAAGGACAATGTCACCTACTTTCAACGGAGCTTTAGTGTGACCCTTAGCCGCAGCAGCCACACGAGCCACGGTGAAGAACTGTACTTGATCTTCGGCACCGTCTTCGTAACGAGTGATCCAGTCCTGGCTCACGCCTCTCAGTCTTGCGGTAAGCACGTTTTGCGGGTTGAATTCGGCTTCAATCATCCGTAAGTGTTGAGGGATGGTATTGGCATTGAGCAGTTTGATCACGGCCGCGACGTCAGTAACGTCCAACCCCATTTTGTACAAGACGTCCTGGCTATCGCAGTTAGTGTCACCAAGGTAAGTGAGCCAAATGGCTCTTACGGTGCCGTCGGCATCAGTGACAAGACCCAGCAGCAGTTCGTGGACAAGCTTCAGATCGATCACCACCGTGGTCATATTGATCCCACGGTAACGAGGCAGCACCGCGTTCAGGGGAATGTTGATCAGCAGCACCGCCAGCACCGTGATGTCGTCGTCGGTGACCATGCGCATGTTGTGAGTGTAGCCGACAAAACAGGCTTTGTCGCCTCGCTTCAACGGGGTAGTGCTGAATTTGGGCGTACGGACATCGGCAAGCACCTTCAGCGGGTCGTATTTGACGATGGCGTAGTTGAGCGTCGGGTGAAGGAAGGCGACGGTAGCGGGGACTTCGATCGACTCGGCAAACACCACAAACACATCACACATATCGTGGGGCACCGTCTTGCGAGAAACAAGCACGTAGCCATGTTCGGCATCGACAACCACCCCGTAACTAAAGTCACGAGCGTAGGGGTACAGGTCGACAGTGATGGGAGTGTGACTGCGGATTTGTACCAACAGTCTAGGAAGAGCAGCGCGGCCAGGCAGCGACACGTTTAAATCGATGAACTTAGCGTTTTGCGGCTCGATGGGAGGAGCGGGAGGCGGCGCCAGCTGGAGCTCAGTGAAGTCCCAGAGACCAGTAGTATCGTTACGTACAGCGACTCTGAAGGTCAGACACCAGTGGCGTTCCAAGTAGATCACTCTCACGAGCTCGGTGTGAATATCCAGCACGTGACGGTAAGTGACGGGCACCCGTTGGCTATCGGGTAAACTCTTCATCACCTCGATAAGGGCATCGAGGGTGGGTGTAGGTTTATAGTCAACACTCTCTAAGATCCATCCCAGGCGGTCTTGGAGAGAGTCGAACCCACCACCAGCATGGTTGATGTATACACCCGTGACAGGGATACAGTAGCATCTGGCAATCTGGTACAGCAACGCGTTGAACAGGGCACCAGCGACTTCCACATACCGGTCAGGCGTGATTTTGTGAAGGTCGCCAATGGTGATTTGCTGGGTAAGCGTTTGTCCCAGTCGTTGCACAACAAACTGAAGCTGCTGGCCAACATTGGCGTCTAAGATCTCGTCCACTTGAACAAACAGCGAGATTGGGGTATTGTTAACTTCAAGCAAAATGTCACCTTCCTTGATGTGATCGTAAGCAGGACCATCGGGAAGCACGATCTCTGCCACGAGCATCCCGATCCGGTGAGGGAACCGTTCCCTAGCCTCGGCTTCAGCATCAGCAGTGAGGCCTAACCGACGACACTCATCGTAAGGTTTCAATTGCCATTCCACTTGGATATCACCTCGAGTGATAGGCAACCCTTGTTGGATACATTCAAGAGCCCGTTTAGGACGATCGAGGGGAAGGAAGAAATCAGTAGACGCCTCGGTAGAACCACCGGCTTGTAACGCCACAGCATCACCGTCAATATCCACCACGGGGGAACCGGATGACCCTCCCAGGGCGCTGGCAGCAGCCTGGATATACTCAGTGTTGAAATCGTTATACATCATATTACCATAATCAGGAGCGTTACGGTCAAGCTTGGAGATCGTCCCGGAGAGAATCAGGAGCTTTTCCCCAGCGTCGTTACCGGCAACTCTGATTTCAGTACCCACTTTAGCTCCCTCAGGTTTAAGTTTAAGCGGAGTAACCGTGGAGTACTTAATGCTGGAAGGGTCGTATTTGAGGAACCCATAGTCGTGGATGGGGTCGCGGTATAACGAAGTAAGCGGCACTTCTTCATGGTTATCGAGGACAGCGTAGGCGTTGAGCGGACCGGGGCCCACTACGTGCCGATTGGTGAGGATAATCCCCCGTTCAGTATCAACAATAAAACCGGTAGCTTCCGACACGATGGCGGTCTCGGTGTCGAACGGCGCCACGTGGGTGAACTGGATCGACACCACCGCCTGGACCACTTTGTGGATGGTCTCAAGCCACTGGGCCAGCGGTCTATCGGGGGGCATGTCGTAGATGCTTTCGCCATCACTCAGCAAGTCCAGCATATCTGAGGAATCGGGGTGGTCGCCGCCGTTGGCCACGTTCATCCGCTTGGCAGGCGGCGCCTCGTCGTCGCTGCTCCGTCGTTTTGGGGCACTCACAGTCATGGCGTCGCTGTCGATGAGTTAGGTATGGAGATGCGATGGTTCGCGTGCGCATCGCCACAAGAATATAGAGAGAGGAGGGGTCGAACGGATGAGGGGTAACTAAGGGGAAATTGTATAGTTAGTGTTGGTATGGATCATGGTTGTCAGTTCTACAAATATTTATTAGTGTATGGCTTCAATATCGTGACTAAGAAGCAAGTAGTCAACAAAATACGTTAGTGTAATTTAATGATATTCGTTGTGGTGACAACTTGGGTCGGTGGTATTAATCTGTTATATTGGTCGGTAATGTTTGTTACCATGTGGCGTATGGTCCATTCTTTCATGTGACCGTCGTGACCATGAAGGTTGTTCAAATGATCCTGCGCGTGATTTGACTTCCGGTTACGGCCACCTCTCTTGTGATGCTCATCGACGCGTTTTTTCCGATTGCGAGCACCCGGCGCTAAAGAGCCCGACGGTTCAACCCCTTATACCATTCATACCCTTCAACCATCACTTTATGTTGGTAGGTAAATCTTTGGTGTAAAGGTGTTTCTTCAGTTTCTGAGTACACTAATGGGCGAACAGTGGTTTTCGTTAACAAAGATAGGGCGTCAGTGATAGTACAATCACCCTTCCTAACCTTAGGCATCCGTTGGAGTGGTGCCAATGCGGGAGCTTGAGGACGCCACTGATACGTAGCATCAATCATCTTCCTGAGCATATTCATCTCTCCAATCATCCGAAGTTTATCAATATGGTTATTTTCCTCAAGTAGTGAATCAAACTCTTTGAGATCATAAAGCGAGTTTGCTTTCACAAGAGTGGCCACCTCGGCTTCAAGCGCTTTTGTATGGGTCGCCATCTCCTGCTTTTGTTTCTTGAGTGTCTCAACCTGATCCTGTACTGCTTTAAGTTGATTTTTCAAGGCTTCTCTTTGCGATTGCCATTGTAGATTGAGTTGCTTCATATTCTTCTCAAGCATATCAATATGGAGTTTGTCGTCGATCACCTGCTGCTGCAAATCAGCTGAGGAGCTAGTCACAATGCTAGCTCTCTTGACCTCTGATTGATGAGAAACCTGATCATGAATAGATTTGGGGGCTTCTTCTATATCCACAATATCAACTGGACTAAGTACAACCAGCTCGTAAGCCTTTAATACATCACTTAGCTTATGAATTTGTTCAAGCTTCTGAGGGTCATCCAAGAGTTCATCGATGATATCCTTGGATTGTGAGGGAATGATATCATTAGCAATGTTGTAACTGCTTAATGCAAGCACAATCAGACTTGATTGATGCCACTTTTCAAGAATCGATTCCCATTTAAAATCAAGTCGAGTGGTTTGGTGATCATCCAACGCATCTAACTCAAACTGCTTCGCAGTTACCCCTGACTCAAGTTCTGCAAGAGCCAGCGTTGCCAGAGTAAGTTGACTTTTGAGATCTGCTAATGAACTATTGGTATTATCAGTGCACGCCAACATATGATTTCGAAGAGTTCCAATGATATCGCGGTATTCTTTCACCTCTAGGCTGATTAAGTTGAAGAAAAATTGAAACATGTGACGACCAGCTAACTCACCTGAATTCATGACTGCCAGAGCCAGCAGGTGTAAGAACTGCGACACAAACAGATCTTCAATTAACAGTGGAGTCATATCTAGTACCGCTCCAGTAATCTTGTCGAACTGTACCTTCAATAAGTTCAATGATTGTTCCAAAGTATCAATGTTGCCAAAGTAAAGTAACTTCTCGATTTGCGTCAAATAAGCGATCAATACCCGAAAACTGTGGATAATATGGGGAATCGTGACGGATATTTCACTGAAAGACGCATCAAGGATCACTTCGATGGTTTTTTTGAACTCTTTAACCTTATAAGCCTGAAATCCACTAGAAGTGCCCTGATGCTCGGCCGATTCTAACTTAATTGAAGTCAATTGATAGCGAAACCTTTCGATCTGATATTTTACTTGAGCTTTACGAAGTTCAAGATTGAGCTCTTCAAAAGCTTGATCGTGTATCATTGTCAGCTGATTGAACGGCGAATCGTCGTCGTCTTGGGTAGAGTTTGCACGAGCTTCACTTCGAAGTTTGATGACTCTGGACTCCAAAAACTTATTCTTGCGCTTAAGCTCCTCCATTGACTGTTGACTTTGTTCGATTTCAACCTGAAGTTGTTTGATTTCATCTCGAAGCTTCATTTCCAATTTCGCTTGTTCCTCATTTTCAATCTTAGAGAGCTCATTGAGCTCATCAATATGTTGGTTGAGCGTAGTCACTTTGGCCAGTAAGTCTTCGTTTTCCACATTAAGGCTTTCCATCACCACCTCCACATCGGCAAGTGCCTCTAATTTCTGCTGAAGCTCGCTGATTTTATTGCGAGCTTCATCCAATTGGGAAGTTAACCGAGCTGGGTGTCGACTTACCAGTGCCAGCAGCAACTCCTGGCCATCATCAGTAATGAGAGCTTCCAAATCGTCAACTAGCAACTCCAATTGCTTGTTGCGCGTGAGAATGATAGTAGCGTCGTCGGCAGTCCACAGATCCAAAGCTAGTCCACTTTTGATTTCTTCTTCCAACTGCCTTATAAGTTCCAACTCATCCTTTAGTGAAGTATTGCTTTCTTTCAATTCGTTATAGTGAGCTTCAAGTTCTTCCTTTTCTTGTTTGAGTGCTTCATGCTCTTTTTCCATCCATACAGCGGTACTCACCTTAGTCTGCAAGTCAGCCACCTTCAGCCTGCACTCCTTCAACTCGTCTGTTGTCCGTTTAAGCTTAGCCTGAAGCTTATCCACCACTCGATGTATCAGCGGCATATCTTGAGGCAACGACGCATCAGAAGATATCAGCGACGGACGAGTTAATTCCAGGCTTCGGCTTGGAGTCCTGGAAGCTGTCACCATTGCTTCTCGTACAAACATACCGTGTTTATTAGGACAGGTAAAGTAGCGTACTCCCTGAACGCTGCCGTCATGTTTGCCGTCTGCTGAGGCCAATTCAACGCCCACCCAAACACCAGGAGCAAAATCAGTGGTACCAATGAACCGTACTGTGGCCGGGATGCCCTTTGCTAGCACCGAGTCACCCACAAGCATGTTTTGAGCATTGGCGTAGATGAATCAATTGTAAGCGTACGCTAGGTGGTTCGAATTAGTGTGAATCAAGGCTACAAGTAGAGAGTGCGGTTGTGAGCCAGCATCAACTTAGAAACAACACGGCTTCCAGTCACCAACTACTACGGTTAATACTATTAAACCATCGATTTGAATTAGATACTTTGAATACCAAACTTCATAAACATCTTGGACTCGGTATTAAAGGATTTGTTTGCAATTAATACCAATATGACACGTCTGGCGTGTCAGCCTTGACATTTAACACTATCGCGAACCACACGGCGCGCCAACCCACCCATCACCGCGACACTAGGGACGTGGACAAGCGCGAGCCCTACACATCAACGCTCCACATACGCCATGCTGTATCGGACGTACCCGCGTAACGAGCTCCAAGATGAGCACCGGAAGGAAATTGACGAAGCATGGAATCTCTTCGACATGAACCAGGACGGTAAGATCGACTTTCATGAATTCAAAGTGGCGCTTCGAGCGCTTGGCTTCGACGTACAAAAATCCGAAATCAGACGCTGGCTTACGGAAAAGGGGGATGGCAACTACATTGTCCAGGCTCAGTTTGAGGAAGTGGCCTCCGAGCTTATCAGAAACCGCACCCCCGAAGAAGAGATCGGGCGAGCGTTCACGTTATTCGACCGTACGGGCCGGGGCAAGATCCTGTTTGACGATCTCAAGCGAGTGTGCCTGGAAGTGGGGGAAAACCTTCCTGACGAAGAGCTTCAGGCGATGATCGATGAGTTCGACATCGACGGCGATGGTTTTATCAACAAGGAAGAGTTCGCAAAAATTTGCAAGGACTGGCAATAATGATTGAGTTAATGGATGTATGTAATGTATTTGAACCTGGTGTTTGAATTTAAGTTTTGAAATGTAGAGTATGCTGTTTCAATTCGATTTGGCAGCGGTGAGGGTGCGACTGAAAATTTCTCTCACCTTGGACTTCCCTCAGCGCTGAATTAACAGAGATGTCGTGGCACACGGCCAAGAAGAGATTCCAGCGGGATTTGAACAAGCTTCCCGAGCAGCTCCGGGTGCAGTGGAACGCGCTGTTGAACAAGCAGTACGCGTTGCCCCTGATGGAGCTGATGGCGGTGCCCGACCCCGCCAAAAAGCGCTCGACCGGCTTCGACGTCGGCCTCACCGCTGGTGATTTGTGCTACATCACCGAAGGGGAAAAGAAGGGTACCATCACCACCGTGTTCCAGTACTTGTCGCAGGTGGACTCGGTGTTGATGGCTAACGTCACCGAAAAGAAGTTGTTGCCTCCCACTCGTCACGTCCAAAACCAAACCTCCCACTACACTGACTACCCCAAGTTTGTGCCTCGATCGCACGTCAGACTTGTCGGTAAGGAAAAGGATGAAAACGGCAAGATCGGCTACCTTGTGGCTGAAGAAGTGGTTCTTAAGGGCAAGTACTATGACGACCGTTACAAGCGGTGGTTACCCCGTCGGTTTGTCAAGCACCATGAGGAAATCGAAATCCCCTGGCCGTCGCCCCCTCTCGAGTTTGAAGACGGTGAATTGCTGACTCTCGAAGACACTGTGTTTGAACGTACCTACGAAATGCAACTGATGGCTCGTCAACCGTTGCCTCTGGGAGTGATCGACGAGTTGCGTAACAAGTACTCCAAGCACAAGAAGCGCACGTTCTCCGCATTGCACATTGCTCGTCTCCAGAAGCCGTCGATGCCGCTTTCGACGGAACAGAAGATCTACTTGGCCAAGCAACAACAGAAGCAAGCCACCGCCAAGCCTCAACCCACGGAGTTGCTGGAAGAAGCGCAAGCACTTATTGGCGAAAAGGTGGCGGCTCATCTCAACCTGATCGACAACCCTTACATGTTGGCCCACCTCGAGGCGTTGCTGCAACAAAAAGTGCCGTCTCCTCAACAACAACAACAACAACAACAATAGATTCTTGTATATACATAACGATATTCTACGATACATTTGACTTCTGTTTTGCGGTAGACTTTTCCGAAGCGTTCGCACTCACCATTTTCAATGACTCCCACTCAGTGTCCCCCAGACCTTAAACAAGCGGCCCTTAACGCCCGTGATTTGCTGTACTCGCCATATTCGAAATTTAGAGTTGGTGCAGCCGTACTTGGTGAGGACGGACGAATTGCTGTTGGCGCCAATGTGGAAAATGCCAGCTATCCCGCGGGTATTTGTGCTGAACGAGTGGCGTATCCTCGAGCATTGATGGAAGGGTTAAAACCAGTGGCAATTGCTGTGACCAGTGACAATCATGATCCAATTCTGCCGTGTGGTGTTTGTCGCCAGTTCCTTAGTGAATTCGGTTCTGATTTAGTTGTTCACATGGTGGGGAAGGAGCGGGTAGTGACAGCAACGATTGGTGAGTTATTACCGATGGGATTTGGCAGCAAAGAACTCACCGGCTAACTATCTGAGACATACAATACAACACTATTTGGATAAGACAGAACAAACACCATTATCAGAGAGATGTATACAGATATGAATGTCCATTTTAAAGCTTGATACTTTTTGAAACTGAAGTTTTGGGGGTGCTGGGGTGCTATATAAATGTTGATGTGAAAATATGCTAGCATTACGCTTCTTTCTCTCCAAGAACGATCGATTTCTGGAGGACTTCAATATGCTTGCCACTGATCACAAAGCGACAAACTTCTTTGTGCAAGAGCGCCTGGTTAGCTCAATCGGTAGAGCGTGAGACTCTTAATCTCAAGGCTGCGGGTTCGAGCCCCGCATCGGGCTCTTTTTTTGATTCGAGTATCAATTGTGCTTGACAATTTTGCAAAACCTAACGATATATATATCTTTTTTAATTAAGCCTATGTATAGTGCATTGAGTGCCTTACGCAGTCGATGGTGAGGATTCAGTGGATCTCGTATCATGTTGTTGCGTCTACTTCGTGACAAACTCGTGAATTATTGAAAAGTTTCAATATAACGAAGGTCTGATATCAAGAAACCACTTATTATTCGCTTTTAACAATTATTTGGATGTTTTGGTCTATGAATAGCTGCGATATTTACTAGTGTCTCAGCCACCAAACGATTTGAATTATCGCGACTCACCAAACGTTAACCACAGATTTACCAAAAATTAACAAATTCTACTAATGCAATAAATATCGGAAATTTCGATAAAGGCCCATAACTATAACCATTACCGTTAATAGGGGTAGCTAAAGATAGACGAGATCATGCTTGATGACAGCGGTATGTTTATATTTTGGCTGCATATCCCCTATTTTATCCTACACCTTGGCCGTTGGCCGACGGGCGGGGAAGGGAGCTTAAATCCATATGAGACAACAGTGGTGAAAGCCCTTCAGCCTTTCTACGTAAACATATAGTTGCTTTTTCACCCATTTTTTGTGACCTTTGAACCAATAATTTTGTGACCGCAAATGGTAAACGGGAGGCCAGCAACTCACACACCTCGGTAAAGGCCGCAGGCGCACTCCGAATTGAGTACGCGAATTGAAAATTTGCCTAAACTGAGTCGAGGAAACGCTGAAAGCTTTCCGGCAAACGGTGTTGGTGGTATCAGGTAAACTATAGATTAGAGCCAGCACGATCATCTAGATGCCACTAACCGGACGAGGGCTGCGCGACTGCGGCGCAAAGTGTGACGCACGGTGCGGTCGCGGCAAAATCGCCTAGAGCGCTCCTACAATTCGGTGTGACAAGAACAGCGAAGTCCACATGGGACTATTGAAGAAGCGAAAACACCTGCTGGACGTCGAGAGATCGCCAACGCTCTCGCCCACACAGCAGCCTCTGGTGCTGGCGCCAGCGGCAGCCGTCGCCAATGGCACGGGGCCCACCCTGGACGCCATTCCCCCAGGGAGCTTCTTGGACCTCAGCGCCGTCGACGACCTGCCCATTGGCCTCAAACAACCCTCCGCCATCGGCGCCAATGCCCAAAGCACCCCGACCAAACCGCCTCGGGTCCCCGAGTCCCAGCTGACCCCGAACAATACCGTTATCCATCATACCCCACTGGGAGTGGGCGTGGTCCACACGCTGACGCCGACTCAGCTGGCGCCGCAAGTGCCGTCGCCGCCGACGCCGCGGACGCTGAACGAACCCTCCACGCCCAAGATCCAGATTGACCCCCCAGAAATGAAGAAACTGGACCTGGGGATCATCTCGCTGATCATCAACGCCGCCCACAACGCCGCCACGATGATCCTGAACCTGATGGACGAGGACCGTCCTAAGCAGGACCTGGGACTGCTCAACCTGGACCCCGAACGCAACAACCTGCTGTTCACCAATAAGCTTGACTCATTGCTTAAGCCAGCCGCGGTCACTCTGCTGAAGCTGCTGCTCACAGAGAAAGACACCTCCACCGTACCTCTGAATCAGGAGACCATCACCGCACCTAAAGAACCCTCCGACTCGTTGGCGCCGAACCATAGCCACGCGCTGGATGTGCACTTCAACCTGATCCGCGAAAGCCCTCTTCAAACCATCGGCCTGGGCGATTTGACATTAGAGGCATTTGACCAAGTACAGCGGGACCAACAAAACTTGTCGCCGATGCCTCTGCGGAAGCTGACGCTGATACTGCGGCGTCTGCGAGCCGCCAGTCCCGTGGGCGTTCGGTCACCTAAGCTAGGCGCCATTGACGCTGCCAGCACTACACCAGCAGGAAACGGAGCGGTGGCGAACAGAGTGCTGACGTCTAACCTGGTACGGCTGCTTGAACGAGTAAAGCTGGATCAGAGTGACGACAACGATAGCATTGTGGACCTGGAAGACGAGAGAATACCAGGAGCGACACTGGATACCGACGCCGATGTCGAAGGTGTTGAAGGTCAGACTCCCCGCAAGGGACGCCTGATGCGCCGCAATAAAGAGTTCCACCAAGCGTTTAAGCAGATTCCCTCTCTGGAAAGACTTTTGGACTCTTTCAGCTGTGCTCTCACTAAAGATATTCTCGTTCAGGGGAGAATGTTTGTGCTGAAAAACTACATCTGCTTCAATCTGAATATTTTGGGGTGGGTGACCCATTTAGTGATCCCGTTGAAGGAAGTGATCCAAATTGAGAAAAAGAGTACCGCAGTGTTATTCCCCAACGGGATTGTCATTAAAACCCTCCACCAGCGGTACGTGTTCGCTACTTTTCTCAATCGTGAACACCTGTTTAAAGTGATTAGAAACGCCTGGCACCAAGTGCTTAACAAGAACGGGGATGCGCGTACCGCTCGCGCCCGCGCCGGCAGAAAGCTGATAGACCTGCTGGCGCTGAGAATCGAAGGCGACTCCGACGACGACTATGATCTGGAGGCTGATATCGATGACGACGACCACGACGAGACCGGTTCGCTCATTTCTGACGATGACATGTCTAGCTTAGAGGACACCGGCCACAATCTGCTGAGCGGGGGTGGCGCTAGTGGTGGCGGCGACGGATGGTTCGGTTTACCCATCGTCGGTCCTGCCACCCATGCTGCCACTGAAAATGGCTACACCAAAAAGGCGGGCGATACGTTTATTGGTGATGATATTCTCAATTGTCCCTTGGGTGTTGCCTTCAACTGTATCTTTGGCACCAACACCGATGCTCAGCAAAAGTTCCTTGAAAAGGGGAAGAACTTTGACATTTCCAAGATCACAGCGCTTACCAAAGACAATAAGGAGCGTGACTTCCAATACACCAAGCCACTTAACGCCCCTATTGGCCCTAAACAAACCCGATGCATTATCCACGATAAGATCCTCCAGTATGATGTCAACAAGGTGATCTGCGTCGAAACCATCACCAGCAGTCCCGACGTGCCACTGGGCAACCTGTTTAAGGTTAGACTGACCCAGTATTTGCTGTGGGCGGACAACAACAGTACGCGGCTCTACACGGTGACGGCGATCGACTGGTCGGGCAAGCTGTGGATCAAAGGTGCCATTGAGAAGGGGAGTATCGACGGTCAGAAGGAGTCGCAAAAGGGTGTTGTTGAGTTCATTAACGACCTTGTCGCCGACAGCAAAAAGGGTGGTGGCTCGTCAAAGAAGAAGGCCAAGACCCGCAGTCGCCGCAACACCGAAGCGGCTGAAAAGGCACCCGAGCCTGTTAAAGTGGTAGTGCCTAAGGAACAATCTCTTGGCGAGAAGATCAATGACGTCATCGACCTGGTGGGCAAGTTGGTGCCGATCCCTATGGTGCCGTCGTACGCAGTGGGGCTTATCGTGTGGGGGCTTGTGTTTTTCTTAGGGACGATGGTGGTGAACTCGGTGTTTGGCCTCCACCGCGAGGCGCTGCTGTCGGGCGCCACCATCCAGGTGGTCCCTGGGGAGACGGTGATGCTGCAGATCCGCATCAACGACGCTCGCTTTGTGGTTATGCCCTCTGTCGACACCGCATTAAACGACCCTTTGCTCCGCAAGCACCAGGAACAGCTGTTGTGGCAATGGCTAGAGGAGCGGCTGCAACACCACCTCAAGGTTAACCCAGAGGCATCGGAGCCTCGCAAACAGGCGGAACGGTCATTGCGCGAACAAGCGCTCGTCGAGGTCATTGAGCAGACACGAAACCGTCTCGACGACATGGCCGCCAACCTTAATTGAAAGCATATATACTACAATATACGAGCATAATCCTATAACCAATGCGTCGCCAAACCCTCTTTCCTAGATCAGTAATAAGTACGAATGGTGTACCCCACGTATTCACATAACTTATTGCGTTCCTAGCATCGATGCCTATCACTTCATGGCGATGGCTAAGCGAGGGCTAGATTCGGACTATGCGAACAAATCTCGGTTTTTTTCGCGCGCTATGACGTTGGCAGGTGGACCCTGCTCGGAATAATCACCCGGACGTAATTTAGGTTGGCAAGTGTGAGACTCAGGGATCACTGGACGTCACGAGCCAGGCCTCTTACTAAGCGAAAACGGTTGAAATCATAGGCACCGACCATACCCGAGCTCCCGTGACCTTACCCGTCCATTACCGGTTGCCCCCAGGAGGCTCCCCCCCCTACCTTAAGCGCAGGTGCGTATCTGTATACATCGCACTTACAGGATGCCATTATGGGTGCATTCGGGCCGTCGCTTCCTCCCCCAATTGCCGCACGCTCCTCTGAGACAACGCCTAGGACGTTGCTGCCGGATGCCTGCAGCAATTTCTCCGGGCTCCAGATAGACTGGGTGATGTATATGTACTGCGGTCGTCCCGGAACATTACCTCCTTCCCCGTATAGCCGGCGACACCATTGACACCAGTGACGATGCACCCGGTGCCGCTGCTCCTGATGGGCCAGCTACTATACCAGCTTCTCACCTTTGTCGGCCCCCTCGTGTACGCGGTGAAGCTGTTGGACCCGCTGATCGACTGGCGGCCGATGTCTCGCCACAACTACCGCGAGGTGGTCGCCTCGCTCATCTACGTGGTCGTGCTCCAGGAAATCAGGTTCTGCGTCGACGGGCTGGTCCCGCTCGTCGTGGTGTGTGATATTCTCAAGATCCTTGTCGTCTACGACCCCAAAATCGGCGTCGTCGCTACCCAATGGCTCGCCAAAATGGTCCCTTGGCCGGAAGTGCGCCACTTCGAACGCCATGTGGTCGACCCCATGCTCCGGAGGATGGTGCTGGCGCCACAGGACCTGAGGATGACGGTGCTCCACTACCAGTTGACCCGCCGTCGCTGTGACCCCATATCGTTCCCGGTGTCGCCTGCAAGGGCGGCCCCGATGTCAGCGACGTCGGCTAATGCCATGCTCCATGTACCTAGCCACGACCGTGACCGAGTCCACCGGGACCGGTCACCACCTCGCTACGTATCGCCGTCTCCCCTCTCTCATTCCCCCATCATCCCCGATAAATTCGATGATGATGGCGAGCTGATTGCCCCTACTCCCGAGGAGGCGTTGGCACGATCCTACGCCACCTACGTCGCTACTGGCCGGGAGAATCTGAGTCCCCACCAGCCGTTTACCCCGGAGTACGCCCACCAAGTGTTCAACGACGTGTTTGGTGGCGAACGCGGTGGTCATCGCTTCCGATCTAAGATACGAGATTTTAAGGACCGAATCGAGTCATCGCCCCCGCCCCTGGCTCGCAATTGGCATGGCGGGCGCAGCCGACGAGGCCCGTGATCAGTTCCTCATCAGGTCATGTTCACTGTCGCATACACGCTAACGTCATTTATAGAATATTTTCACACGACATCAACGGAAGACCAATGTAACCTCGTGACGTCCCCTAGAAGAAACGTTTGACATACTACGTCAATGCATTGTGTAAACGAAACGTCCGCTTAAAAGATTAAGTCACTTTTGACCGATCACCTCGTCGGCGGGGAATGCTGTACGTGATTGTGGTTGTGGCAGTGCCGAGCATGCTTCTCTGCATTTGCATGGCAGTATGAGTCCTGCAAATTGCCACCGATAACAATTGCGCGTTTCCCCACCCCT